CCTATGCTAACACAGTAGTCAATTCGGAACTGCAGAAACTGAAAAACAACCAAATGAAAAAGAGGACGAGGTGGGGTGGAAGTCTTGCGCAAACAAATTTTCAATCCTATATTGCGTGGATCACACTTTGCAAGTGAAAGTAGATTCTTAAAATAAAATAAAAAGGACTTTGGAGAATCAGTATTCTACTGGAGGATTCTTAAAGGCGCCTTTTCCGCATAACAGAATAATATTTTTTCTGTTTGTGTGGGAGACGAGTGCTGTTTTGGTTAGCAACAAATGGACTCGGTGGCTCAGTCTCATCAACGAAAGCTTCTATGAACGGAGGTCATTATTTTCATTACGTTTCTTGATAATCGTCTCTATTTAGGGAGGTGTTTATCTCAAGTGGATGATGCACCGGATGACCCCCGACGTCTATTTGAGAGAACGCAATGTCATACAAGTTCTCACTTGAAGCGAATCATTTGGTTTAGGCCCATACTAAATGACTACTTACATTTGGAACCTTGAAACGTGAATTCCTTAATATGAAGTGACATTAAAGCGATATCGCATGACTTATACCTTCTGCTATTATCATCTCGGCTGAAAGGAAAAGTGCAAAGATGACACGGATTGGGCTGGGAAACGAAAGAGGGAAAAAAAAATTCTGGAGCTAAATGTCAGACGGTGTTAATAAGGAGAGCATTATATTCTTTGGTGATTCAGTGTGTGTGTGTGTGTGTGTGTGTGTGTGTGTGTGTGTGTGTGTGTGTGTGTGTGTGTGTGCGCACTTTATTTAAAGCAAAGCTAGTTTAAACAAACACAAAAGGATGATATCTTCCAGATAGTAGTCGAAAAGTAATAAAGAAAGCCCTGTCCTTGCTCCGATGAGAATTCATTGGGGTGGCCTTTTGTGTACTCTTACAAATACTGTATAACCATTGAAGCGGGAACACTGTGTATTCCACAAAACAGAGCTTTTGTGGGTTTGTGTGTGCGTGCGCGCACGTGCACGTCTGCTCATAATGGGCTTCGCCTTTCTGTGCCTGGATAAATAAAGCGTCTACAAAATGAAAAGGCAGGGGCATTGATTCAGTGACTCGTCGGGACTCCATGCACATAATCAGTCCTGTTCTGTTTGCCATGACATCTTATGTTAGACATCACTTGATGTCATCTTTTTTTTTTTTGGACATTTTTAGCCAGCAAAACAAGAATAGATTTTGACAGAAGTTTGTCAAGCCAACTCTGAGCCTACGACACTGAAAATTCTCCCTAGTAGGAGGAGTCATGTGCTTTAAAATATCTCTAGAGATGTCCTACCCCCTCGACCGCCCACTATACACCTACTGCACCTCTTAGGGGGAAGAGAGAGAGAGAGAGAGAGCGCGAGCGAGAGAGAGAGCGAGAGAGAGAGAGAGAGAGAGAGCGAGAGAGAGAGTCAAGAGCCATAAGTTGAAATGAGCTTGTTGAGGTGTGAGGAAACGTCGAGCGAGAGGGAGGAAAATAAAGTCAGGGTGGGGTGGTGGCAATGGAGAGGAAGGTCTATGCCTGAAAAGGTGGCCACTGTCAGAGTTCTCCGCCAGCACTGAGCACCAAGTGCAGTCCACCGACTGTTTTTTTTTTGTTGTTTTGTTTTAGTTTTTTCTTTTTTTATACTTCATGAACTGACGGGAAAAATACTCACCAACTGAGAGAGCATACTGAGAGCTGCCTGAGCGATGGAGGCAAACTCCAAGAAGCATCGCTTCCGAAAGGGTCGCAGTGCCACTTTCAGCATCGACGGCTTCAACATCACCATCGGTAAGACTTTGTGTGCATGTCACATCCGAGACCGGCCGCTCAACTCGGCGCATTACTCCAGTCGGCTTAAGTTGATGCTTGACGCTGCGCTGCGAGCCCTCCATGGAAACAAGCGAGCTTTCAAACTGCCGCTGACGTCACCTGGGATTCATGCTATTGTCCTGACAACCCGAGTGTGGATGAACTTATGTGCTCGGGGGAGAAAATAGCAAAAAAGATTCAGAGCATCGTCAAAAGAACATCGGGTATGATTTAGTGTGTATGGACTCTGTACACATTCCCTTAAGATGTGTCAACTGGCGTTCCCACATGGTTTAAGTCCAAAGAAAGTGGACATCGCGCTCACAGTTATGGTTGCAGTGACGTCACACCATCTGATCAGAGTCCGCAAATTATGATTACATTTTTTTCATTTGCCACACCCACTCGTATGAATGTCCAAATGACCATGTATTTGTGCACAGCACTCATGTTTATATGCATATATATATAAAATTGTTAAGAGGCACACTGTACCAACCAGTCGCAGGGCACACAGGCAAACAAGCATTCACACTCGGACTCACAGTCATGGGTATGCAAGTCTGTTTTGGTATTTTGTGAGTCTGCCTGGGGTGCCTGGATAAAACTCATGAAAGGGATAGGGAAAACAAGTCGGCGGCCCGTTCTCAGACTGAGAACACCAGAAATGTGAGGCATGTTTGTCAGCCATTAGCCCCCTGTACTACCTTAGTCTACATTCTGTATATTTGCTCAAATCAGAAAGGACCTCGTCTTTTGGAGATTTGGTCAAAGATAACTCACGGTGATGATGTAACATGCTCTCATCTCCAGGTATCCCGCTCAAGAAGCCATAAACGCACCCTCGAGTGTTTATGGTCTTGTGAAAATGGACTTTCTGTTGACATGGGAGTAGATCTCAAAATCCGCTCTTGTCACATGTGGCCTATATTTCAATTCTGCGCTCTCGGCAAGCATGGACAGTTGCCATGGAAACCCAGGAGAATCACAATCAATGGCTTCGCCGGGTCAGGGTTCTCGGTGCACGCGGTTCGCCAATCACATCCTCTGAAGCGTGACGGCGAAGCACCGCTTCCTCGTTGCCCCTCACGTCCAGCGCGATGTTAAATGTGGAGTCTCGCCACTGATGTTTGGACTCCCAACTGTGGCGCTTTGTCGCGAGCCGAGCTTGTTAGCGTCACAGTGCCTCTGTTGATGATACACTGCCATGTAAACACATTTGACCGTCACCGCTGGCACATCACAGTAAAGAAAAACAAGTTTTTTTTTTTTTTGTTTAGTGTGTTTCTGAGAATCATTTTTAATCTTTCCCTTTTATGGGAGGGGGCAAGGGGTTAAGACCATGTCACTTTTCTTTTTCACGTCTGAATATAACAAGTAGCGCTGGGTACGCACGTACCCATTTGTAACGTGTTCAAGTCCTAGAGAAGAGTTGTGTTAACTTCCCTGCTGAATTTGAACGAAAATACAAATTGCCAAGGATACAAAATGAGTTTTCCAAATCATATCCACTCAACTGTCCGCCGTCAATCAAATAGCTCTGCAATGACCTGAAAAACAAATGCTACTTTGTCTCGCATCTTTATTGCACCTCCAGCTATGAAAATTGATCAGATTAAATCCTCCGGTCGTTTCACCGAGTCGTTTCGTGACTTCTCCGTGCCACAACAACAAATGCTGTACAGCATGGAGCCCCTGTCTACACGCCGACTCTCAAATCGGACAATTTAATCCTGCTTTTTATGATAGTTTTGTCAGAAACATCAAGTGACTTTGGTGGGTCATTTCAACTTGGTGTCAGTCGTCATGTGTAAGTATAATCTACCACCTCCTGGTTGTTGACCCCCTCCCCAAGGAGGGGATACTGCCCCCTCTTTCATCTGCTTTTCAACTGCAGATGGTCACATCCACCCAGGATTTACATCCTGCAGTCGGCCAAGCTAAGAGCCAGAGTTCACCAACGGAGGAAGCAAGGGGGAGCATCTGTCATCATTCGGATGCAATTTAATGGTAGGACTCGAGTCCAGGACTTCTGGTTTCAACCCAGTGTTAGTTGTTGAAAGCAGCGAACAACCTGACAATCGCATTGTATACATTTGGGGAGCTTTCAACCCTGTATTTGCTTCACGTCACATTAGTTAATGGGTTTATGAAGATGGCGTGTTTGTTCCATGGTTAGGTTTCTTGTCATTTGGTTGAAAAAAAAAATTAAAATCGGCATGCAACAATTAATATTGTCCCACAGCAGTGTGCAGAAATGCAGAGCCACTCGAGATTTGAGTCACTGTTTAGGGAGTTAATGGCGAGAGGGAAGAAGCTGCTGGAATGTCTGCTGGTTTTGGTGCGCATGGTTCGATAGCGCTTACCCGAAGCGAGAAGCTGGAAGAGGTGGCGGGCAGGATGTTGGGGGGTCCAGTAGGATGTTTCGTGCCCTTGTCTTGGTTCTTGCGGTGTCCTCGAGAGTGGGTATTGAGTCTTGAACTGACCTAGCATCTACTGTATGTTTTTAGCACGTGGGAAGGAACCAGCAGTACCCAGAGAACATGAAAATTCTTATTCGAACCCAGAACCTCTCGACTGTGTAGAATATTATGGCTGATTCCACACATCCACACATACATGAATGTCTTTAAAAACTAATTTAAACTATTTACCTTCATTGGCTCTCAATACACAACCTGTTGGATTTCACCATTTTTTTAAACCTCTCTCTCATTTCTCTGAGGATCATGAACACACCCCAAAAAAAAAAAACAACCACATCGCACTGCCCCCCTTGCCCCCAAAATGTTATACTCCTGTTCCAAAACACACTGAAATCGCCTGGAGATATGTTGTGATGAACCTGCCACTTCAGGTGCGTGTTGTCTTTGTACAAAGCTGGCTCACTTTCCAGCGAGCCACATCACCATGGAAACTTAAGCTTCTGGCTTAAGATGTTCCGCAATGGGTTAAAATGTGGAAGAAAAAAAAGACAGAACATTGTCGGGTAGCTAATTAGTTTTCCTCAATAACCTTTCACGATACGATCATTTAAACCAAAGAAAATGACATGGTCTCAGCAATATTGCACAACTTTGTCAGTTTTCTGACACCTTTCATTATTTTCTTTCTTTCTTTATTATTTTTTTTCGTGCTCCCAAATGAGTTCTCGCAATTGGCTTCATCATTTTTGTTTTTCTTCTTTCCAGTGGCAAACGAAGATGGAGAAAGCTCGAGTCGACCACAGGCCAGTTTTGCACGTAAGTGTATGAACTGAACGCTCATTCATAAGCGCATAGCTGTCCACTACAGGGGAGGTGAAAACATCAATACGCTCAATCATGTGCAATCGATATACTTGAGCTACCAAGAGTGGAGCAGATTAGGCAAGCCATCGTGCAAATTGTGATTCAAGAAACGTCATATGGTATGTGTGTTCCTAATAGGTCACTTTTTCAGGAGAAATTACTAGCCCAGAATAGAAATCAATTAGGCAGCCATTGTTTCAAGATAGACAACAAAAGTGTTGTATCTACCTATTTGTACATTTTGGTAATAATGTAACGAGCATTAGAAATGTAAAGAGTAATGTTGCACAATGGTGGATATGTCAATCTCTTTTTGACTATGCCAAATTGTTATTTCTGAAATATGGGCTTGCTGCGCCTTTTTTTTTTTCTTGCGATGCTCTGTCACATGTTATGTTGGAGATATATTTTCATTATCATGTCGGTATTTTTTGTATCGTGGTGTGCCGTGAGATTTGTCTTGCATAAAATTGTGGCCTCGACCCATTCAAGATTGTGAAACAATGCTACAAACGGGCATTTTCCATTTGAGATTTATGCTTTCAAATGCAGTTAGTGTAAAGAGACTTTCTCAACACACCATTCAAAATGAACAGATTTCCCATCCAAATTAGTTTTATGTTTTATACATGTCATTGTGGGACAAAAATGATGGAATCTAATGTTTTTTGTTTTTTTTTGGTGTCACTTTTGGCTGTGTTACATCACACACCCACACGATGGCAGCATTAGAATGAGACTCCGATCCCCTCAATTGACTGAGTTTGGGCAGCCATTGTTTCAAGATAGACAACAAAAGTGTTTTATCTATCTATTTGTACATTTTGGTAATGGCATTAGAAATGTGAAGAGTAATGTTGCACAATGGTGGATATGTCAATATCTTTTTGACTTTGCCAAATTGTGATTTTTGAAATGGGCAGCCATTGTTTCAAGATAGACAACAAAAGTGTTGTATCTACCTATTTGTACATTTTGGTAATAATGTAACGAGCATTAGAAATGTAAAGAGTAATGTTGCACAATGGTGGATATGTCAATCTCTTTTTGACTATGCCAAATTGTTATTTCTGAAATATGGGCTTGCTGCGCCTTTTTTTTTTTTCTTGCGATGCTCTGTCACATGTTATGTTGGAGATATATTTTCATTATCATGTCGGTATTTTTTGTATCGTGGTGTGCCGTGAGATTTGTCTTGCATAAAATTGTGGCCTCGACCCATTCAAGATTGTGAAACAATGCTACAAACGGGCATTTTCCATTTGAGATTTATGCTTTCAAATGCAGTTAGTGTAAAGAGACTTTCTCAACACACCATTCAAAATGAACAGATTTCCCATCCAAATTAGTTTTATGTTTTATACATGTCATTGTGGGACAAAAATGATGGAATCTACTGGTTTTTTTTTTTTTTGTTTTTTTTTGGTGTCACTTTTGGCTGTGTTACATCACACACCCACACGATGGCAGCATTAGAATGAGACTCCGATCCCCTCAATTGACTGAGTTTGGGTGCCACTCACCAGTAAACAAATTAAGCACACATCTGTTATCGGAATTGCAGGCTCCAAGTCCCAAAGTGCTTTATGGAACGCCATCACAGCAGGAATGGGCATCAAAGGCAAAGAGCAAAAGCCCCCCCAGAATGACCCCCGGACTCCTGAGGAGATTCTGGCAGATGAGCTCCCCCTGACGGACGAGGCGGACGCCACTGAGAAGACGGCAATCAGGTTCGATGCTTCCTGGATCTCTTGAGTGTGAGGCCAGCCATACTGATGAGGGTCTCAACACGCTTACTCCAAGTACACATCCATCAATTTTCCGTTTTGTATGGCACGTGTCCTTATTAATGTTAGAGCAAGAAGCGGGGTACACCTTGAACTCCTCACCAACCAATCAAAATGGCACATGCTGTATTCATTCACATGTGTTGACAATTTAGTGTGTTCAATGAACCTAGCATGCATGTTTTTGTGATGGAAGCTGGAGCACTCACGGAAAACCCTCGCAAGCCTGGGCTGGACATACAAACCCAACATACGCTACCAGGAGTGTGAGACTTTTAAGATAACAAGAAAAATGTGTTCATTCAGTGGGCCCTTCCTCATCCTTGTGTGCTGTCGGCTGCAGAGCGCGCTCCACTCCAGTTTCCGAATGTAGCTGTTTACTCTGCACTCCCTGGACTGGGCTGTTTTTTGAAGCACTTATGAATAACTTAACATCACATTTGAACAATGCTTTGAGTTTCCAAACGGCTCTGAGTGAAGCAGCACACTCGGAACGTATTTCCAAACACACCCACGGTGAGGGGACTTGGAATTGGGGGATGTTGTGTTGTCTAATGGTTTCTAGAAAACAAAGCACCCCCCTACTTTCCCCTGAAAGAAAAATAGTGAGAAAATCTGCAAAATAGCAATGTTATAGATGAAAACCTGCGATAGAATAAAGCCGCAATAAATGAACCGCAAATAACGAGGGAGCGCCTTACACTGACATATTAGTTGAATACAATAATTGGATTCTGGCAAAACTGGATTGATTTTCAATATATATATA